CAACACTGTTTTCTGACCTTGTTCAAAGTTTTAGGTCACCCCTTACATTAACTTTACCTTCATAATGCCTTCATAATGCATTTGTAGAACAGTCAGTGCACATTCATAATTTATTCGAAGAACAGCAAGTGAGAATACCTTAACATCCTAACATAACTTAAGAACTTTACTATACACTAATAACAAACATTTTTATGATAATAACAAACATTATGATCGTAATTGCATAATGTTTGTTATTAATGTATAATGAAGCTGTTCAGGTATGTTAGGATGTTAGCATGCTGCTAATGAATGTTCAATGAATGCATTATGAAGGTGCAGTTAATGTAAAGCGTTACCAAGTTGTATTATACAGACCAATTAAATAACCTTCTTAACATGCTGTTTAACAGTAAACTGTCATTTTGCATGTTTAATTTATTGGCCTCTGTCCATTTGAAGTGTTTTTATTAAACCAATATGGTTAATGATCCAGAATCATCACAGAGTTTTTCACTGAGTCATTTTGACCTAGTGGTGCCAGTGCAAAATTTATGCTTATCTACTGTATTGTAGCCAGTCGGAATCCAGGAGGTCATCTAACTTTGATTGCTGGGCCACTCCTCTGTCAGCATTTTTAACACCCATCTTTATATGTCATATGTTCTTGCTAAAGTACGTTTTTAGAAAAGCATGTGACTTCTCATCACTGTAAAATCGAAAGTGAAAGTTAAGTACCGGTGCATGATAATGAGGGTGTGGAAAAGCAATAACAGCTGACACAGAGAGACTTACTAATCTTCAGTAAGGAGGTGAAACAGCAGCTCGTAGGGATGAAATGACAACCAAGCAACAGGGGGGCACTATGATCCCAGGGACAAAACCCTCAAGTTCGTGACAAGGAGGGATGAAATCAGTCAGTATTATGTGTACAGTGCTTTAAATATTTTATTTTTTAGTCTCATTAAATAGGATACTTGTGACTTTACATAAGGAGGAAGCTGAAATGTATAATACACTCTGGGTCAGTGTAAGGGCCTTTATAAAAATATGTTAAATACAGCATTACTGTTCAAAATATATATTATCATCCTGTTATCAATTTATTTAAATAATTTGTGGTGAAGAAAATCTGCCGCCTGACATGTGCCTGATGTCTGAGGTTGGTCTACAGGGTTTTTGTAAAAATGCTCTTTGTCTGTAGCCCTGGATGATGACCCAGAGACCCTGAGGGCGGAAATGTCCTGTGGGCATGCTGTCACTCCACAGTCACTGACCGCTTGGTGTCGAAGCCTCCTTGATAAGGTGTGAAGCTTTATTTAGTCACCATATTAGTCCTTTCTGTTTTTCCCTACAACAGCCTGGTGTATAATCAGCAGGCCTTTTCTATCTAAGTCTTGCTTTGCCATTGATCTGTAGGGTCGGTACAAGTTCATGTGTCCGGCTCTGAAGGATTGATAGTTATTTTGTCTTTCTTCCATTTGCGAATAATTCCACCAACAGTTGTTACTTTCTCGCCAGGCTGCTTGCCGATTCCACCTTTGTGAAGGTCAACAATCTTTTCTCTGGTGTCCTTAGACATCTCTTTGGTATTTCCCATTGTGATAAGGTTGAAGATGTAGACAGGTTAGTGACCCAAGAATACTATTTAACCTAGTAATGTCATTAAATGACAACGATGGCTGGGTATCTGTTAATACTTAAGTACTACTTGTGTTGTGTTAGTGCACATGTACTTGACCTAATTTCTTGCTGGCTTGTAGGGGATCAAATACTTGTTTCGCTAGATAAATGACAAATTGGTTTGTAACTGTTACATAATGATTTTTTCTTGCTTGTTTTGTTAATAATCTATATTTTGCTGTTTAAATAAATATACCAGTGAAATTACAGACTTCTCATTTCTTTATTAATGGGTCAACTTAAGAATACAGCAGAGGTCAAATAATTATTTCCCTCACTGTAAAGTATATCATCATTAGGGAGTAATGTATTCTATTTTACCTTGATCTCAGATTGTCACAAGCAGAAATTTGCAGTATGTCTCTCAGTGCTAGACAATTATCATATTAGTGTTCATCACTAATCAAATCTACTGGCGATCAAATCTGCCATGGATGTTTTACAGTCTCTGTGGAGTGGCTGTGTTTTTCCACCATCACTGGAACACAGCGTGATACTCATCGTGCCTCCATTGCTCCATTGTTACGATGAAACCATCCTCACCCTCTATTGAGGTCTTACCCCTTTCAGTCCTTTTTGAGACTCTCAACAGCATTGCTGTCCATTGTCAACAGCTCATTGAGGCAAGGATATGTTCCCTCACACTTTAAACATGCGGAGGTTATTACTCTTTTAAAAAAGCCTGGTCTTGATGCCGGCTCGGTCTGTAATTATAGACCTATTTCATAATGACCTTTTATTAGTAAGCTTTTGGAAAACGTTGTAGAAAATTAGTTTATATTGTTATTGTGTAAACTACAGATCGCTGACTCCTTTCAGTCAGGTTTTCAGAAGCAGCACTCTACTGAGACTGCTCTTTTGAAGGTCTATAATGATCTTCTTATGGCTTCTGATGCAGGAGATTGTTCAGTACTTGTATTGCTTCACCTCAGTGCAGCTTTTGATGCTGTCAACCACAATATTTTACTGAGTAGACTCAAGACTTTAGCTGGTATTTCAGGATCTGCTCTGAAATGGTTTTCTTCCTTTTTGTCAGATAGGACATTTTCTGTTAGAGCAAGCAAGTTGTCTTCTACCACTGCTTCTCTGTCGTGCGGGGTTCCTCAAGGTTCCATCATGGATCCATTATTATTCCCTTTTTACATTCTTCCTTTAGCAGGTATTATTCAGTCATTCAGAGACATTTCTTATCAGTTTTATGCTGATGACATTCAATTATATATATCATTTAAACCTCATCAGCTGAAAAAGCTGTCCAGCCTGGTTGATTGTTTATCTCGGATTAGTGACTGCCTTTATAATAACCACCTTTATTTAAACTCTAGCAAAACTGAGACAATGATTGTAGGTCTTCCTGATTTACACTCAAAGATCAGTGAGTCGATTTCTACTATTTGTACTTCTGCCAAGTCCAAGGTTTGTAATCTTGGTGTAACATTTCATTCCTCTCTGGGATTTGATTCGCAAGTAAAGTCAGTTTCACGTTCCTGTTTTTTCTCATCTGAGGAATATTGCTAAGTTACGTCCATTGGTTTCATCAGCTGAGCTGGAGAAAATTGTCCATGCATTTGTTTCATCGCGCTTAGATTACTATAATGCTTTGTTGACAGGTCTGGATAAATCGTCTTTCATGCATTTACAAACTGTACAAAATGCTGCTGCCAGGTTACTAACACGCTCCAGAAAGCAGGCCCGCATTATCCCTATTTTACATTATTGCCAGGTATTGGCTCCCAGTAGATTTTAGGATTCGTTTTAAAATCCTGGTTATTACATATAGAGTGCTAATTGGACAGGCTCCTTGATATGTCAGGGAGACAGAGCTTTTCAGTCTGTTGCACCGTAGCTTTAGAATGCGCTTCCACTACAACTTCAATGTGCTGCTTCTTTAGACTCTTTTAAAACACAGCTGAAAACCTATTTATTCAACCAGGCCTTTGGTTCTGTTTCTTGATATTAATTATTCTGATTTCATTCTAAAACTAAATAAGTAAGTATCAAACGTGGATCGGTCACATATAGCTAATACGTGATTCGTCTAATAGGTATGGATCGGTGCCAATACAGATCCCAAATATCGGATCGGTGTCCCTCTATTCAGAATGTCGACTACAAGTACCAAATCTTAGCTTATAGTATAATATATCATAAACCTTGATGCGCACAGTACCTGAAATAGTCAGCTTTATTCGCTTCACATGGGAGTGGTCATAATGTTTTAGCTCATCTATGTACAGTACACATACAGACACTCCTCTACTCATGAACGAGATACGTTCCGAACTGCTGTACGTAACTTGAAATGTTCATAAGTTGTTATTCAACATCATTATAAGGGTATACTCAAGTACAAAGAACTAGGATGCTGGGAGTACGCACACTACGCTGCTGCGCGGCGGGAGTAGCGGCCATGAGTCATACTAGGCGGAACTGGAGCGCAGAAAAAAAAAATCATGTTGCGAATGGGAAATGGGAGCCCAGTGAACACAATTTGGACTTACAGTCCTCTTCGTTCATATGTCTGAAAGTTCGTAAGTTGAACGTTCGTAAGTTCAGGAGCGTCTGTATGTACTGGCCCAGACTGGCCATCAGAAGTACTGGGAGATTTCCCAGTGGCCTGGCCTAGCGGGCCATTCATCCACTTTGGGAAGAGAGAGAGTTTAATTTTATATAACGTGCGACATATTAGACATATTAGGACACTATCTGACATCTCTTTTATAGAGAGGACCACTTCGGTGAGTTTGGCTCCTAAGAAACAAATTAAATTTAACAAATTAGTAAATTGCCAATGAATGTTATTTCCTCTACACAGAAGCAACCACAAAAAGAAATTCAACCTACACTTGATACACGAAAGGATTTTGAAGATTACACAATATACGCTCAGTTTGGAATGCTCTTCTTATTTGCCATGTAATACTACATATATAAATGTAACTTCAATGGTGTGAAACTTTTTTCATGCATTTTACTGTTACATATATAACTACATGGACTGTATCACTTACCAATAATTGTCCTTGATAATGTGCCCCTGGTATTTTTTTGTATTTGTACTATAATATTAGGCAAAAAAGAATTATAAAAAACAACTTATAATAATATTTTCTTTTTCTCTTCCTCTTGGAGGGGTGGGGCAGCCTGGTGATAGCATAGATCTCTGCAGAAGGCAAATGGGCCACTGGGCGTCACCAAACCAGAGTGGGTGGTTTTCAACCATGCAAATCAGTGCCCGATTGCAGCAGATATATCCCAAGGCTCCTCCCAGGTGAACATATCCTGCTTATCCTGTCTTACTTTTCACAGATGATTTATACAGTAGTTGCCTTTTACCGAAGTATCACAACACAGATAACCTTAGCAAGACACCATGCAAGCAAGAAAAAGGAGAGATCACTCACCTTCGACAGAGAATCAAGGAAAAAAACCCTGTGACAGCTGGTATGGTATTTACGATCAACTTGGTGAGTCAATCCATGGTTGTAGAATAAAAACATTTACATAAACATACAAGAAGGTCACATTTATGTTTAATCCTAAATGAATAGATTTTAAATACAAAGGTAAAATGCCTTTTTTTGTGAAATCACTATGGGTATTTTTAGTTTTAATATTTCAATTGCTCAGACACATGGTTTAGGTTATGTGAAACAAGGTATCTAAATTTACTTTAATGTGCATGTGTGTTCATGTGTATCGTGTAATGGACAGGATCCAGCGTTCCTTGTGCTCTGTTCTTCCTGGGGCCGGTAATTCTGGATGTATAATGGGCTGTATGATCAACACTTTTCCTCTACAGATGGACTAATGCTGCCACATAGTGCTGAAAGAACAAAACTGCAATTTTCGATTTGAATCAATTCTATTCAATTTTGTAATCGACTACCATGCTTTTAATTACTCTATACAACACTGCGGCATGTTTATACTACAGTATAAAACTGAATTACTGAATAATGCATATGTATTTTGACAGACCTGTAAATATATATAGTCTATTGTTGAATGGGTTAGTAGAAGTTAAGTAATGTTTTGCCAAAATCATACAATTAAAATATGCAGAATTGAAAGATAATATTTAAAACTCCCCTGTAACTGAAAAATGAGGCCCTACAGAGACCATTTTTAGAGCTATGAGTTAAGAAATTAAGCATGACCAGGCAAATGAATTTTGGCGCAGGTGTGCACTGCTGCTTTGGCATATTAGCAATAGGTATGTATTAGTGTACAACATACAATTCATGTTATGAAGCCAAATTAATACATAACTGTTATAGGTTAACATTTCCCACATGACTAACCTGTAGTAGCACTAGTACTTTCATAGGCCTACATTAAAGTCATAGCTGTCAAGTCTCCTAATGCCAATTTCATAGTTTCTACATGTCGGTTCACAGATTACTCTAAAAGCCTAGGGAGCAGTGTAGACACTGAAGACCCAACCATTAAAGCTGAAAAATGTAAGTAGCTAAGCAATTAAATTATATTCTTTTAAACCAGAGGAACTGAGCCACTTTTGGAATTAAAAAATTAAACTTATTCAGTGCAATCACACAACACAAGAAGATCATGTAATCTAGCAAAACCTAAATAACTGTATAATAGATTTATTCTCTAGGTGGTATATGTATATATTGACCTTACATATGTATCGGTGTGTGAAGAGTAGTTTACATGACTGTAAGATAAAAAAGTGCATTTTTTTAGGCTATTATAACAGTATGCATTTGGTATATACCGGTCCTCTAAGTCCTTTTACAAATATTTACGGTTTTTGAATATGGGGGCTGCCGACCCCTGTTTTATACTGAGAGGTATATGTGTAAAATGTGTAATTCTTACCGCAATGCTTATTTAAAACATTTTTATAGTCAGAATTGTTTTATTGTAGTCTGTATATTTTATTTTTAGAATTTAATTAAAAACTAGCCCTCCATAATGTTAATTTTCAGGCGTAAATATCTAAATATAATGGAATTTATTTTTTTCCTTAATATCAACTTTAGGTTATTATGGGCTGAATAACCTGGGGGCCACATGCTACTTAAATGCAGTGCTGCAGACACTCTTCATGACCAAGCAATTCAGGGAGGCTGTGGAGAGGTGGGAAAATTACAATGCACACTTGTCATTATGGTCCACTATGAATAAAATAAAATAAATATAAATAAAAACCATATTTTTATTTAAAATTGGAAACTTTTCTCATTCTACAGCAATGAAAATTTAAGTTATAAAATGGGAATGAATGGTTTTTATTTAGTATTGTTGTCTTGGTTTGACTCTTTAAATGTAGCCTTCAAACTTGTCCTTATGACCCACTATAAGTAAAGCAATTTAACAGTTTACAAAAAAAAGCAGTTTAACAATTAAACTGGGAAATTTATAATTAAAAAGCAATTATAATTGAAATGGGAATAAAAGCTTGTTGTTTATTGTCATTTTTTTGCCTTGGTTTCACTCTTTAAATACAACAGAGTTTGATAAGACAATACATAAGTAATCACATGTCATCAAATCATCTTATTACAAATTTAAAGGGCGGGGAAACGGGAAACATCCATTGATTATTTTATCGGCTCCCAGTGTGTTAAACCAGGCAGTGACTGATAAAATACTGTGAATCCCTATTTCAAATGCTTATTTCAGAACTCAGAGCATTTTATTTCCAGTACGTACAAAAATACCAGAATTAGTTGTTGATCACAGCAAAACAATGTACAAGACCCATTTTCAATTATAATTTTTTTCTCCCATTAACACCTGTTTTGCCTATTTTACTATTGTTCCAGCTTAAAATCAAGTAGTACAACTTTTGAAAATCATTTAAAGAAGTTGTTTCAAAAGTTAAAGAGAGGCAATGCAGTTGTGGAAAATGAGCTTCTAAGAAAACTTGGCATCACAAATAGTGAGTATAACCATGTGAAGATCACTGTTATTCAGGTTGAATTTTACTTAAAGTTTATCCAAGTAGTAACAACATGTAGGTAATGTAAATTAAAAAATGTAATTTTCCAGATAATGTACAAGAAGATGCTGCAGAATACTTTCAGAAGATTGTGAACTTATGCGACATTCCCAGGGTGAATTTTACCTTTTCAATTGTATAAGTTGAATTGTTTGTTCAAGTGGAATATCACTTCCTAAATTTATGTAAAATACAGCAGCTGTGCATTTCCCTTGCAATATAAACTTTATGAAAGTTATCCTTTTACATTTACATCTCACTGATGTAGATCTATCATGGAGAACTTAAATATTCTACCAAGTGTCAGAAGCACGGACATGAAAGTGAGCCAGAATGCAGCTCATTTGTGATTCTGCCACTGGCTATTGAATCGCATCAAAGCTACAATGTGGTAAGAAGTTTTATAAATGGGCTTGTAATGATTGTTAGTCCAGTTTCTACCAAACTTTACCTGTACAACATGGCAGGTCTCAAAAACTTCTAACAGCTTCTAAGGGAATAAGGCTCATATCCATGGTGAAGGGATAATAATCATGAGTTTGACTAGAAAAAAAATTGAAATCTGTCATGAAGTAATTATTTCTGTATAGCATAACCTAGATCCAATATACTGAGAGAATGTACTTGATATAAATATGGTTTTTATTGCAAAGCAATCGTAATATGTCTGCATATGAGTTTAGCAGTCTGAAACATCATTTACCGTTAAAGCTAATTTCGCTTTTAATATGATGATCCCCTAATGTTGCTCTGTGTTTTATTTTACAGATGGATGGTTGGAAGCAGTTCTTCAAGCCCTCAGTTCTGGATGGTGATAATCAGCTATACTGTGACTTTTGTGATGAGAAGACAGACACAGACGCAGTGAGTTATTGCAATAATAATAAATTTCTTAAAGTTATATATTCAGGCAGCAATAGATAATTTTTACTGTAACCATACTCAGAGCAATTTGTCAAGTTTAATGCGTGACCCGTAAATGCAACTAAGCATTTCAAGCTGTTGTTCACACGAGATTCTACCTACATAGAGCAAAGCTTCCCATTTCTGTTTGTGGAGGAATCACCTCTCCCTGTTTATTGGGTGGTGTGTCTATAAAGAAGCTCTAAGGGCATACTCACACTAGGCCAGGTTGCCTTGTACTGTGTCCTGTCTCCCCTCCCCAATCCCCCACTGGCCTTAACATTCTGGGCCCAAGCATGCTATCATCATTATCATGAGAGTATTTGTGTTGAAGAAAACATAAGAAAAGGGCTATCGCAGAGCACAATGGAGTTCACAATTAATGTCCTTATTTTGTGGAATCCAATATTTGGTTGCATTATTCCATCACAGTAAAACAGAAACAATGGATATAAGCCAGGTTAATTTTAGTCTGAAAGAAGGTGAGGGGACAGATAATTGCGACAGATAAAGACACCGGATAACTGAGACAGGGGCTGGGTAATATGAGGAAAAATGGGAATGAAACACGATTTAAGTCAGGTATGATTGAAGAAGACGGACAGGTTTGGGTTGGCCAAGTGCTACATGTTGGGTTTGTGAAGCTCAACGGTGCCCCCTGTATTTCTGGAAGGGTACATAACTCAAAAGTTACCCACCCAACTCAATGCAATTGTGGGAAGCATGGGACCCGTTATGGACCAGCATCCCTGTGGAACGTTGTTGTAAAATTGTTATTTTATATCTGTCAAAAAAGTCTTAGCGTAACCATTCCATGTTTTTCTGAGAAAATATACACTTACTACCCTGATAAATAGCTGTAAACATTTTCTTTGACAGCATATTTGATATTTATAATCAAGGACTTTAGTATTTGTCAGTATTGCATTTCAGCCACGTCCAATGGTCATTTTGTAATTTAAAGCTTGTCTTATTCTCCACCCTTTGCAACTCAGGAATGTGAATTAGTGAGTTACCCTGAGGTCTTAACCTTACAACTGAAGAGGTTTTACTTTGACTACAACTACATGACGTATATGAAGAACAACTACAAGGTGGAAATCCCCGTCGAACTAGTCACTCAGGTACCGTAGAAAGAGCTGTTTTTTACTTCATAATTTTGATTGATAAATAGATTGTAATGGAAAAAATTGATAAATAGTAGCATTCTGATAATCCAAAAAGGGTTAAAGGGATAAGGACCCGTGTCAGATAATTTATATATTGATAACATTTAACAAACAGAAATTAAAAGACTGTTAGTACATATAAAAATGTGTACAAATGCTAAAAGACCTGTGGTATGGACAGGGACATTGATTCAGCCTAAGATTATAATATTTAAAATGTACATTTTAAAGTAATGAATCAAATGCATTTAATGCGTTCACTTGTATAATATTTAATATTCAGACTAGTGCATGTTATTCATATCACATTTTAAAATCTGCAGTAGTTAAAAAAAAGGTACAACTAATAGTTACTTATCTGATATTCTCAAGTGATACAGTATTTATGCTTTGGAGCATGGAAGTGGGAGTCCACTTGGGGTATAACCTTTGGAGCATCATTAAGAATGCAGTCATGAACAATCGTGAAAACAATTACTTACCAATAATTTAATGCACACTGATAAAACTTAAAAGCTTGAATTATATCTGTGTTTTGGTGTATTGATTATTCACTGAGCATTAGTTTGATATGCAATTAACTATATCTTTAGATTGTATATTTAATGTTACATTATTGGCAGCATGGCTCAAATCACATCATGCATCATGAGGTAAGAGCAGGAAATTTAGAAAAAGAAATAAGTCTTAAGGGTATATCTGAGTAAGTATTCTGTAATCAAATCTCAGTAAAAATAAATCTGTGTCAGTGAATATGCCCTCCATTCCTGCCTAGGAATGATGCTTCTAATACAGTCTATGCTTCACACTGTGGTATCTGTACCATGGAACAAACCAATATTTATAAGTCATACTGCTGATAATCAGTTTATTTGAATGTCCATCTTAAGTTTGCAAAAAAGCAGCTGAGCAACACACCATATGCTGCTTTATATTCAGAGACCAAGAGATACAGTTGGTTCAGACCCAGTTAATACCATCCCTGCAGTCATACAAGATAGTTACGTTGTGCTCTGGAGGTTTTTCATTCTACAGGGACTAGAAAAATGTGACTGAAGGAAAATATCTTGAGTACAGTGGGGAAAAAAAACAATATTGGTTACTAATAACTTAAAAGTGTGGAAAAAGAACATTCCCCTGCTGAACAAATCTAAACCCAACCTAAATATTTAGACTTGAAAACTGCTGTCAGAAAACTTGCCAAACAGGTACTTGTTACACATTATATGCTATTGTGTATAGTTCTTGGAGCCTGACTTTGAGGAACGTACATAAAGTACCACCTCAAGATGGGAATATATATGCAAATATACCTACAGGTGTTTCTTGTTAGTATTTATATTTGCTGAAATTAAATAGACTTCAACATGTCTTCATTTTTAGAATTCAGATTTTTTTCTCTCACTCTTTCAGGAGCTCTATAAGCTCTATGCTATAATTGAACATAGAGGTTCTGTGAAATCTGGACATTACTACACCATCATCAAGTCATTTGAGGATGGAAATTGGTACCATTTTGATGACAGTCATGTGTCTCACTTTGAACCCAAGGTACAGTCTCTTACTTTATCTTACCTTGGACATACAACTACCTTTTCAAAACAGTTGCAATGTAAATGGAAACAGAATGCAATGATTTGCAAATCATACAAACCCTTAACTGAAAATAGAACAAAGACAACATATCAAATTTTGAAACAGAAATTTTGTTGTTCTATGACAGTTATATGCTCAACTTGAATCTGAATCTGATGCAACACATTTCAAAAAAACTTGGGACAGGGGCATGTTTACCACATGTGTTGCCTCTTCTTTTAACAATATGTTGTAAACATACAACTTAGGAGACCATTTGCTGGAGTTCTGTAAGTGAAATGTGGTCCCATTCTTGTCTGACATAGAATTTCAACTGCACAACAGTTTGGGGTCTCCTTCTTCATATTTTTTATTTCGTGATGTTGCCAAATATTTTCATTGGGAGACAGTTCTGGACCACAGACCGGCCAGTCTAGCACTAGGACTCTTCTACTATGGAACCATGCTGTTGTGATATGCACATATTGAGGTTTGGCAGTGTCTTGCTGGAATATGCAAGGCCTTCTCTGAAAAAGACATAGCCTGGATGACAGCCTATGTTGCTTCAAAACCTGTATATAATGGTGCCTTCCCAGATGGGCAAGCTACCCAAGGCTTGGCCAATAATGCACCCCCATACCATCAAAGGTGCTGGCTTTGAACTGCCTGCTGATAAGCTGGATGGTCCGTCTACTCTTGACTGGAGTCTATAGAATTCAGCGTCCATGATTTCCAAAAAGAATTTGA